TTAACTTACCGAGAAAGCATTTTCATCATTTCACTTCATTAGCTTTAACCCTGATGTTGTTATTGTCAGAAGCTGTGATATTTTGTACTGTTTTTTTATAAGGAACTTTCAGGTGAAACAACTCTATTTTGTAAGACAGCTAGATTTTCTGAAATTTGTTTCCCATCTATAAAGCAGTCATTTCTTTTTAGAATGCCTGTTTCCTTGTCTCCTTATTAGATTTGCAAAGGAATTACTCATTGCAGGCAGTTTGTTCAAAAGGCAAAGAACTTTTTAAATCTCCCATATGTTTCTTCATATCTAAAACAACGTTCAGTGTATAAACTGCTTTCCCTTGATTTAAGGATTTTAAAGTGGCTTGTTTGCTCTTATAGGTAGCTTTTTGTCTGATCTGAGTTCTCAAGAGGTAAGATTAAGCTTTTTAGCATTGCTTTGAGAAGAAACTTTAACCCTGTTGTTATTATTAGCAATAACATTCTGAGCTGAAAAGTTTTTGGACAGTATCGCCATCTTTAGCTGAAAAACTACATTTCCCAGAATGCATTTCTCGTTGTCAGCTCACTGTTACGAGCTAGGTTATGGACTTCATTTCCCATAGTTCTTTTTGGGTCCAGGAGTCAATTTCTGGTTCTCTTTTTACTGGGCTTACTTTCAAAGTTTTCGCTGGGGAGGTTTGGGCCAAGCTTGAGTTTTCAGTTATGGGGCACTGGGAGATTTCTGTTCTGAGCTGGCTTCAACAGGTGTCTCTCCTTCATTTGACACTTGCCCGGGATCAGAACTGCACCTGCCTCGTTAGCCGGCATTGAGGCAGGCATTCCTTTTACCGGCTTCCCTCAGGGCTTGTGTTCGCCTTAGCCAGTCAGTGTAAAACAAAAACATTTGCAACAGAGCTTTTCCATAGCTCCTTCAGAGAGATTTTCTCCCACTGATAGATCTTTATCTCATTTTGCTTGCTCCTTCCCCCTCAGATGCAGAGCTTCAGATATCTCAGGCTGTGGCTCTGTTCCTCTGCTAGCTGCCTTTGGAGGTAGGGGCTCCCTGCCCCGAGAATCCGCCTCAGACTTTTAGCAGCTTTCATTTTCTGGGGAGCAACCTGTCTCTTCTGTTTCTGTTTCTTCAGAGTCTTTCTCCCTGACAGTTCCCAGTTTGGTCTCAGTTTATCGCCTCTGCCCCTGAAACATTTTTTGACACTGAAGTGGCAGCTTTCCCTGCTACTGAAGGTCGGGGCTTTTTGTCCGTTTCTGTTTTCCGGGTCTGTGAGGTTTGTGTTCATAAATCAAGCTTAGCAAGGGAGGTTTTTGCCATCTCTAAGCTTGCATCAGACCTTCACCTGGCCCAGTTCCCCAGTGGATTGATTTCATTTGTCTGTGTTCTCAGAACTTATCGCCTGAGGCAATCAACCCCTCAAGGGCTACACTCCCTCACCTCACTGGGAGTCAGTCAAAACAAAGCTTTTCTCAAAAAGATGCTTTCTGATAGAAAAAAAAGTTACTCCTTGTTAGTTCTCCGTTCTGCCCTGGCTTTGCTCTTTATGCACACAGTGTTCCTGACTCGGCAGCCCAACTGTAGTTGCAGTTCAGCTTTACTGCTTTCCCAGAAAGGTCCTTTCTCTGATAGGAAAGCTTTTCTCAGATTTCTTTTTGCAGCTGTGGACCTATCAACTGGGACTTGTAGGAAAGTGGGCAACTATACTGTTCCCACCGGCTTTAGCTTTGTTTGTTCATCAGCAATCTTCCTCTGGGTCCTGCACCTTCTTGCCTCAGCTCTGGGCTCCAGGAAGTTGTTTACAATGGCAGATACTCTAGTATCTCTGGAATGCACTCCAACTTGGAGGTAATGGCCAGTTGCTTCTCAGTGTTGGTTAGAAGCAAGGATACAATGCTAACAGAGAGGGCTTCGGCTCATCACTTCAGGGAATCTTTTCATTAGGGCAATTAGGAGCACCCTTTCATGCTGTTAGACGTTCACTCAGAAACAAAACCCTTGATGCCTCAGCTCAGCTGTAACTGAAAAGGCTTGACTTCATTGCTTTTTCTAGGTAAACAGTTTCCTGCCCTATTGGGCTCTTTATGGCTCTTCACTCGCACTCTCTCAAGCGTTTCCTCAGAGACAGAGCTTAGAAGAGGTTTTTAGGAAATCAAGCTCTGCCTCCCTCATTGCAGGGAGGATTTTTCTGGCTTGAAAGACAGGACTTAGAGAGGTTTTGCTGTCTTAAGAGGTTTGTTGTTTTCCCTTAGAGCGAATCACAGGTGATTCCCCATCTTATCTTCAGGTGATTCTAATTTTTGTCTTTCTGAGAAAGTTAAAGGCGTTAGTTTTTAAGTTCAAGAGAGCTTTTTAGTTTGACAACGATTAAGGCTTTTTAGAGAGATTTTCCAAGAAAAGCTTTAGTTTGAAAGATTTTTTTCCCAAGAGAGAGAAAGACGAATTTTTCCCAAAAGTTCTGAGTTTTAAATTTTTGTTTTGGCTTCTTACACCCGTGTTTTTGCCTCAGGGAGAAATCACTTTTTCCTGTCACGTGGACTTAGCATTTTAACTGTCCCCAGGCCAAAAGCTTCCATAGGAAACTTTTTTCTGTGGGATAAGCTCAAAGAAGAGTTTTTTTTTAACTACCCATAAAGCTCAATGAAATATTTTTCCCAGTTTGCATTCATAGCCCTAAAGTTAGAAAATTGAAGAGTTTTTCTGTCTAGTTGCCTTACTTACCTTAAATACTTTTTTGCATGGCATTACACTTTTAAGTTTTTCCTACACTATATTACTACTCTATACCTTATACTTATTTTTCACAGATAGAAATTTTGAAAGAGCTAGAAGATAGAAATCTTTTTTCATTAAATCAGTTTACAATTTATTACTGTATATTGCTTATATTAACTTTTTTCTCACTTTTCTTAAGAAATTTTTCTACTCTACATACCACCCACAGATCCCATCTCCTCCCTCCTCCCACTCCCCAGCCCTCCCTTCCAAGCCACCCCACATCCCCACATCCCCCAAACCAAGGTCTCCCATGGAGAGTCAGCAGAGCCTGGCACACTGAGCCTAGGCAGGTCCAAGCCCCTCTCCACTGCACCAAGGCTGAGCAAGACATCACACCATAGGCACTGGGCTCCCAGAAGCCTGCCCATGCACCAGGGATGAATCCATTCCCCTGTCTGGGTACCCCCAAACAGTTTGAGCCAAACAACCATCTTCCGTATCCAGAGGGCCTAGTCCAGTCCCATGGGGTCTCCACAGCCACTAGTCTACAGTTCATGGGTTTCCACTAGTGTGGTCCATCATCTCTTCCCATCCTCCTATCATGATCTCAACGTCCCTTGCCTGTAGTATCTCTCCTCTCTCTCATCGAGTGGATTCCCGGAGCTCAGCCTGGTGCCTGGCTGTGGATCTCTGCATCTGCCTCCATCAGTCACTGGACAAAGGCTCTATGATGACAGTTAGGGTATTCACTAGACAGATTACCAGAGTAGACCAGTCCAGGCACCCTCTAGACCACTGCCAACACTCCCAGGTGGGGTCACCCTTGTGGATTCCTGAGAGCCTCCCTGGTACCCTGCCTAGAAGATAGAAATCTTTATAGAGGAGATTTTTGAGCTGCAGCATTGGACATCCTTCCAGTCCATTTTTTTCTTTTCCCTTGAGGATAAAACCCCCTGCCTATATCTATATCTATATCTATATCTATATCTATATCTATATCTATATCATCTATATCTATATCTATATATAGCTATAGCTATAGCTATCTATATCATCTATCTATATATCTATCTATATCTAATATATATATATATATATATATTCCATTAAACACCGGACATGTCCCTTTTTCCATTGGCAGGGCCTGACTCGCACTTTAACCAGAAACTCTGTATTAAAACTTATTTTCCTTTGTCTTTAGTCCCTGTTCATTTGTCTTTAGTCCCTCCCCGCCCCCTTTTTTTTAGTCCCTGTCCATGGCACCATTCTGCAGGGCATTTATCTACCAACCCCACAGTTGCCCAGAGTTTTCTTGAATGTGAGCAGTAGGAAATATTAGAAGGATCTAGATTGTGGAGATAAACAGATAGAAAATACAAGATAGCTTCCAGAGGACCTGGAATCTATTCCAATGGGCCCTGACTGTCTCTGCCCCAGGGTATTTATAGAGACACCAAGGGGTGGAGCAAAAGACTGAGTGCAGCACAGTCAAGTGCAGACCATCTCAGACACCTGCACTCAGGCCCTTGGTCCTAATCATCCTCTCTATGGGGACCTGCTGGGTAAAGGCACAAGGAACCCAAAAATGAACCTTTACAAATAATACAAAATACCTTGGGGTAACTCTAACTAAGCAAGTGAAAGACCTATGACAAGAATTTTAAGTCTCTGAAGAAAGAAATTGAAGAAGATATCAGAAAATGGAAAGATCTCCCATGCTCATGGATAGGAAGGATTAACATAGTAAAAATAGCAATCTTACCAAAAGCAATCTACAGATTCAATGCAATCCCCATCAAAATCCCAACACAGTTCCTTTATTTTATAGGATTGTTTTGGATATCCTGGGTTTTTTGTTTTTCCATATGAAGTTGAGTATTCTTTCAAGTTCTGTGAAAGAGCAATACTCTCCCTCTCTCTCTTTTTCTCTCTCCCTCTCTATGTTTCCCCCACCTCTCTCCCTCTCTCCCTCTCTCTCCTCTCTCATTCTTCCCCTCTCCCTTTTCCCCCCCTCTCTCTCCTCTCTCTCCCTCCCCCTCTCCCTCTCCCCACCTCTCTTCCTCTCTCTCTCCTGCTCTGCTTCTCCACAGCCAGTTCCTGTCTGCTGGCTATGTTCAGTCTGCTTCTTTCTCTTTCTGATCTGAACTCTTCCGGATGCCTCTGCTTCTCTCTCTCTCTCTCTCTCTCTCTCTCTCTCTCTCTCTCTCTCTCTCTCTCATCTACAATAAAAACCTTCCCCTTACCTGTACAATGGAGTGATTATAGAGTCAGTTTATCTAATGCCAAGAAACAATTTAAAATTTTTTACATAGTGTATTTTAATTGAAAATTAACAACAACTTGTGTACAGAGTTCAATAAATAGAATGTCCTCTTTCAGAGAATTTCTTTTGAATTTCTGTATGTTTTAAAATTCTTGCTAATATAGATATCAATTTGACTGCTTCAGAGGACTGTCAATCAACTGCAGCGCCAACTAGAAAGAAAAGCAAAAGCAAGAATTACTAGCAGTATCACCAGGGACATTGGTGGTGTCATGGAGAGGATTATGGGCAGCAGCATCAGTGTCGATATTGGCATCATCTCATGCAGTATCATCAGCATCATTGTGTGTAAGTAGGTGTGTGAATTGGAAGCTCCTTTTTTGTTTTATGCTGCTTGTTTTGGAGTGTTTGTTTCTGAGATGATGCTATCCTCACAAGTCAGTGTATGGCCACAGAAAAGCAGACACTGATTAATATTTAACAGTTAGATATCTCTGTATATGCTTAGCCACTCCAAAAACACAAGGTTATCACTGGGAGAGAAAATAATTCTCATTCCAGAATAGGAGACAACCATGAACTAACTAACATTATTTGGTCAGTTTTGGTGGACTGACTTTGTTAATTTTATATTGTGTATTTTCAATACAATTGAGGGAAAATAATTTTCTTTTGGTACCAGATAAAGCCTATGTAGCAGCATATAAAGTAGGGAATTTATTAGTCATAAGTATTAGCACCAAAAAGAGTTAGTTTTCTGGGACAAAAAATCATGTATTTTAAACCACTGTTTGTGGACTAATTTACCCTGGCCCTCATTCTTTTTACTGGAAGCTTCTTGGTAAGATCTCCAGACTACCCTTGTAGAATCTGGTGTATCCCCCATGTCATCAGACATAAACAACAGGAAGGACAGGCCTGTTGTTGGTGTTCATGCTTGGTCTGAAGTGGCCAGTTGGATGTGCAGTGTGAAAAGCTAGGTCAGCATCCTTAGCAGGATCCTTAGTGTCACTGGGACCACAAAGAGGAGCAGACTCTGGATCAATACTGAGCTTGTCAAGAGCCAGGTCAGCATTGTGAGGAGGGTCCCTGGTGTCGCCAGCGCGGTGACCAGGAGCAAGCTCAGGGTCAGTGTGCGGTTGCCATCTTTGGTGCTCAGTGCTGAGAGCCAAAGCAACTGGACGGGCCCGTTCAGCCGTGAACGCCTTGTCCATGTCACCCGCGTCACCCGCATCACCAGGGCAGGCAGCAGGAGCTGGTTCAACGTGTGCGGTAGCCCGCAGTGCAGCAATTCTGTGCTCAAAAGAGTTCAAACGGGGCACAAGCAGATACCCTGGCTTCTTTTCTTTAACCTTTAAAAAATATTGAGATGTTACTTTTCATTAAACATTAATATCACAGTCTTGATTTTAGTCCCCAAATGTTTGTTGTTTAGTCTAATTTTATCACTACAGTCACTGATATCCTGTAACCTCTGCTTCCTTTCTGCTTGAGTAAAAGGCCCAGGGTTTTCAGAGACCTCAAAAGGGAACCTGCTCAGATTTATGCCTTTCTTCCTCTGCTCTTTGCTACCTAACATCATCATTCTCTGTATAATGGGGAGATATAAAAATAAAAGGACAGAATGTGTCCTCTTCAAATGTTATGACCTGGGTTTTACATTCCAGCCAGATTAATAGAATGTGACAATGAGGAGCTTCGAGAATGAAAGGAACCTCTGCCTTCTGTACTACATAGTCCTTTCCCCATGGCCTTTCACAATTGTTCATTGGGATCCTGAGATAGCAAAACAGTGAAAGTGACCTGAACATACGTAAACAAAGTGTGTCACTACCCATAGCAGTGGGGAGCTGCTGAGCTGCAAGTGTGGGTTCTGGAGACGCCTTCTGACCTCTTACTCCTTAACCATGACTGTTGTATGTGTGAGCAATGGCCTATTCCAGCACCACTGTGGTGGCTTGAATGAGAACAGTCCCCATACACTCAAACATTTGGATGCTTGGTCCCCAGTGGGTGGGACTATTTTGGAAAGATTAGGAGGTGTGGCCTTGTTGGAGGAGATGTTTCACTGGGGGCTGGGCACACTTGTGTGTGTATATTCGTGTGCTTGTGTGTGTTATGCTGCTGCTGTGTGTGAAGACCAGAGAACAACTTTCAGGAGCTGGCTCTCTCCTTCCCTGGGTGAAGCAGGGTCTCTCTCTGCTTCTGTTACTCTGTGTTCCAGTCTGGCTGGCTTGTGAGTTTCAGAGCCGCTCTATGCTCTCAGCCTCCTCTGTGGATTTAGGGTTGCTGGGATTATATATGTCGGACACTTGCTACTTGTAGTGCTTCCTGGGATGGAACTCAGGTCATTAGACTTGCAAGACAAGTGCTCTGACCCTCTGAGCTGTGTTTCTGGCCCATATATGTATGTGAGTTTGTTTGTTATCGGTTCAGAATGAAAATGATAAAGAGAAAACCATGAACTTGGCATGTGAGCTTTCTCTTTTTTCAAAGCTGGGTGTCATCCATGTACACACCTGTTATGTGTACATAACCTTGTATGACGGTGCCTCTTTGCAGAGATGTGTTTGGCAATCTGTTAGCATGTGGTGGAGAACTGATATTATCTATCTCAGTCTGTGACTTTATACTATTTATACTGCAATTAGCAGGTGGCTTCTGGGAAAGTCTTGTGTTAGTCTGGTTTTCGGTGTGTTTAAGAGTAGAAAAGTGATGTCTTTTTTCTTTCAGACACATGATTGATTTCTTTGAAGGAGGGAAACTATAGCCCTTTTGGTTTGCCAGACTCTGGCATGTCTAATATCTATTTGCAATTATTGCTATTGGAGTTCATATTGTAATCATTTGCTTATCAAAGATGTGGTTCCTTTCATGCCCACTCTAGCTCCTGCGTAGTTATCATACTCAACACCATTGTCATTTACTTTCCACATCATCATAAAAATTCTACATTAGTGTTAAATTCTTCTATTTGTATTAAGTATGTTAACTTCCTAGGTTGTTACTCTTACAGTCTAATGAATTTTCACTTAAATCTTAGAAGATGACTGGAAAGTGAACGTATGTGATGAAGAACATAAGAATGATTCGAGAACATTTTCAAGCTAGGTTTCTTTTGTCTGGAACAATCCACAGTATTGAAAAGACAAGCTGTCCAGAAGATACTATCTTATTTTACAGTAAAATACTATACTTTTCCACATGGTGGGAATTACCTTTGTGGATATTTCTCTTCTAGAGTCATCAGGTGCAGGCTCTTCCTTAGGATGAATAATAAGTTCAGCATTTTCAAGTTGTTCATAAACCATCTTCTTTATGTTTTCTCTGATGTATTTTTTGAGGTGTTTGTACTGTAGTGCACTCTGCTGGTCTACTGTCACCTAATCTGTTTTCACAGAAGGCCATGACCATAAGGATGCACATTCAACATTGCACTTCTCCATTTCTTGTTCTTCAGTGATTTTCTATAGACAAGAAAACTGAGGGTTACTTTGATTGATTCAGACTCATGGGTTTTGTGTTTTGGTGCAGTTGTTTTCAAAATGGCTTTTTTGTGTCCTTACATTTTACAGGATATGGGCCCAGAAAAAAAAATAAGAAACTACATAATATTTAACAGGAATTTCTCTATATATGATCAGCTACTCCAAAGTCACTGGACTATCAATAACAAATGTAAATAATGTATAACCTCAGCTTAGACTAGGAGAGAAACATGAGCCAACAAACTTAACCTAGTAAATGTTGATAGGAATGAACACATATTATTTCACACATATTTTATTAAATATTTATTATTTCTTTCAAAAAATGAATGACATGCATGGTTCTGGATCAGATATAAGCTCTCAGCTGCTGCTCCAGTGCATGCCTACCTGCCTGCTGCCATGATCCCAGGCATGTTGGTCATGGATTTTCCTTCTGAAACTGTAAGCAAGCCCTCAATCAAATGCTTTCTTTGATAAGTTGCCTTGGTCATGTTGTCTTACAGTGGTAGAAAATTAACTACATATATAATCTATGTTAAGAGTCACTAGGTTGATTTTATGCCCTTATTCCCTCTTCCGGTGTAGACACTGAAGACACCTAGAGACCAGGAGGCAGAGTTAATTCTCTAAAGTTTTCCTGAGTGATTGGTAATAGGAAACTACAAATTTAAGCTCTGGGAATGATATTTTTATTTCAAAATAACTTAATGCCTATTACTGACGCATTGCTCATAACATCAATTGTTAATCAGGAGGCTTAAATTTTAAGATACATGTGTCATTTGGGGACATTTTACAAACAGGTCAAAAAACATTTTCAGAGTAAAACTGACCTCAATTGTAACTATATT